TGCACAGGTGAATGCACTCACCAAGTAGCTGTCCAAATAGTTCACGATATTCGGATTCCGATGCGCCCGCATGACCAGGATCTCGTTCAGAATCAACTCTTTCCTGGGCTGCTTGCGCAGGTTCATCTGTTTGATAGCCACTCGCTGACCAGTCTTGATATCGCGGCCAATCTGGACAACTCCCGAAGCTCTGTAAGGAAAGATGCGGAGCAAGCCCATTTGAATACCTAAACTGGGTGGTTTAACGGACTGGTAATTAGCAGTCGAAAGCGCCAGTACAACAACCACCACACACTCTTGACCATCTTCTGATTCATATGTAACAGGACTGCGTGGGCCTTTCTGACAGAAGTCAGACTGGGAGAAAGTGTCAGTGGCAGTCTGTGCTAGGCATGAACAGAGACTCAAGTGGGCCAAATGACATAAAGCTTGCGCATTGAGTCAGGACATGAGCATATCAGACCGGAAACAGGAAAATTACTTTCTACGGATGGAACATATTTTTTCACGACAAATTGCGCAGTATGAAACTAATTCTATGCCCAGCACAGCAGATGGTCTCTTCATGACAAAAACAGTCCTATTCAACTATGACAAAAGTAGTGGGTGAGCACATTCACGACGTACTGGCGATGTACCAACGGACCACATTGCTATAACTTAACACAAATGGCAAAGATGCTGAGAACGTCAAGAAGAGTGTTTCTTCATCGTATTTTGCTAAACAACTTTTGGCGACAAACCTCCGCAAACAACATTCTGTCACACTTCCTTCTATCCACACCCGCCTCTGGAGAGGTCACTCCAGCAAATAAACACGGTGAGGGGCAGTTAAACGGTCGAAAAACCCCCGCTAGATGGATGTAGGAGCGGGTACCTGGGGCTTCCTCTCGACGGTGGGAGAAGTCTTCACACTTCATTGGACAGCTACCGCCCGCCCAAGCTGGGCAGCCCCCAGCCAATAAGGTGCTGTCCCGTCCACGTTCCACTTGTCTCATTGGGTGCATGAGGCTAAGGGCCGATCCGAAAAAGCGGACCGATAATCAACGCACCAGCAAACAACAAACTTAACCGAAATTCAAAGGCCTTGCGTGACAGGTCTCCAAAAGCCTGCACACGAGTGCTTCGGTCACGCTCCCGCGTTGGATTTACGCCCCACTGACTTGTGGGTCACATTCTTCAGTCAAAGGCTCCGGTTAGGGTTCCCAAATAGAAACCCCTTCGTCGGTGTAGGCTACTGCGAAGTATGTCGCGCCCGAAAGTCTTGGGTACCCATTTGGAAAACCATCCTCCTCATCTGTCTAGTTCTTCTTCTCAACCCCAAATAATCCCAGATGCCTCCTGTTTACGAGACCCATCGGATATCACTCAACATTTTACCAGTGAAGCCAAACAATCAGAAGTTACAGGATTTTTGAAGCCAAAATCCCCTTTTCACTTATCCGCATTCAATGTCTGCACGCTCTATCAAATTGGCCAACAAGCTGCCCTGGATAAAACTCACGAACCTTTAATGTAGACGTATGTTGTGTCTCGAAACACACATACAAGACCCCACTTCACTCTGCGTTCTCCTGATCGAAACTCAACCTCACCTCGGGATTGCGCTAAGTGCCAAGGCTGAGCGCTCGCTTCTTGACTGGATTCCAGTCAGTAGCCGATTGTGCGCTGTACGTCTCAACGGTTCAGTTCGAGTCAACAGCTACAGAATGAAGCGTCGATGGTTATTCGTCGTATTAGCGTATGCACCGACCGANACCGACCGAATGCAGTATACCTGAAATCAAAGATGAATTCTATGAGGATCTTTCCCAACTACTCCAACGTGCTTGATCTACGGACGTCCTCCTAGTCGCAAGAGACTTCAACACTCAACTAAAATCTCTGGACGAATCAGAAAGGCTTCTTGGCGGATCACATGCAATCCCAGCCAACCGAACGGACAACGGAGATCGCCTACTTCAACTGTGCACTGAACACGGATTGTTCCTGTCAAACACGAACTTCTCGCACAAGAAACGCCATTGACTTACATGGAAACTGCCAACCTCTTCCCTGCGCTGGACCCAAATCAACCACATCGCCATCAGTTACCGCTGGAGGGGATCAATTCAAGACTGTTGCTCTTACTGGCCAACAGCTGTGGATACAGACCACGCCTTGTTACGAGCCGAATTCTCCCTACGCCTGGCAAACAACCGCAAAAAAACCACCGAGAACGGATACCCGCGATACAGTGTCAGCGATTCACGCAAATTGGCCTTCGAAGCGGAGCTCCCCAATCGGCTGTCAGTTCAACCGCCAGCCGAAGGACTCAGTGAACACTGGAAGTAAATCAAAGAAGCTATGCATATATCGATAAAAGCAACTTCGAACCCTGCCACAAGCTCAAAACACAAACGATGGATTTCGTCGACCTCGGTTGCCCTGCTGGACGCCCGCAGAACCCTTCCTCCCGATGCCACATACGACACAGCGCGCAAATCCCTTAAACGCCAGCTCATCAAGAGTTTGAGGAATGACCGCGAGAAGTAGTGGGTAGAAAAGTGTAAAGAGAGGGAGAAAGCTGCGGCTATTGGTAATAGTCGTAACCTTTTCCATCTAATTAGGAATACGGGCCCTAGGAAAATAGGCGTAAGTGAGGTAATTAAGGAATCCGATGGCACACTGATTCACGATCAGTAACGCCGTCTAGATCGATGGGCTGAACACGGTTATGACGGGGGGGAGTGGTTCAGAAAAAAGTCAGTTAGGACCATTGCACTCACCCGTGCCCTATTCGTCCCAATGTCTCGTATTTGTTTGATGGTTCACCTTCGGTCACAATTGCTCGCAAACGGTTGATGATGTGGCTGTCGCGTAAACGAATCACACGACGACAATTGGGTGAGCGTCGACTAGCCAAAATCGGAGTCTTGTGTGGGTTCTCGGCCATGGCGGACTCGTCCAGGACAACACGTGTAGCGTTCCCATTTGAGGCGGTCGATTCGGTTATACTGTCAGGAGATTGTCGCCCGGGGTGCGCGGTAGACTACAGACACGGAAAAGTAGAAACAGGAGAACTGATGTCATTCAAGAAATTTTAACTTGAGAACAAATAAGTAGGCATGACGACCTGTAAGACACAGAAGCATTCCAGAACCAACGAAAAACATTTCCAAACGGTATCACCAAAAGCAGCAGCTACAAAAATCCACCTGACTTCTGCTTCGTGATTGTGATGAGCAAGACAGTGGAATAAAGCCCATAATCAAGATCATTATTATTATTACTATTATCACAACCAAATGATGCAAATATGGTATATCATTAAAAAGATAGGCCTCTGGAATTCGCTGCCTTTAAAATTACGGAGCACATTGATTTAGACAACCTGGTATTATCACATCTTACTGAAAAGTTCACAAAACGAGCAAACAGCCTTACTATTGAGGTCATCCGTCCCACAACGCGAAGACAGACTCAAAAAATATACATACAGAATCCATAGATCAGTTTTCGACTAATGCAACAATCACGGTGACATTGCCGGATGGATACTCCGCTCAATCAGCTTCTTGGATTCGAAGATAAAAGTCAAAACGAATGAGTCCCGAGCAACGTTGAATGAAAGGGAGAAGTTCACTAGGTTTGTGACAGAGGTCAAACTGTGAAAGCCACGAACATAGTGACCTCGAGGGAAGATGAGAGAATCACACTGTCAAAAGTCAGTTCTTCAGAAAATGCTCTCGATATCATCATTGTCATATCTGTCCGCTTCAGGATGGGGATTGTGCTGTCTTGCACATCGTGGGTATTTTCATTGTACTTCTGAAGCACTAATTTTCACATCCTCTTGCGCAGTATTTGGATGTTCTCCTTCTTTCTTTTTTCGTCTTCGTCGTCTTGGACAATTCGGTCCATTATTAGACTTCTTTCTAGAAATGCACCGTAATTGCATGCGCGGTCCAGTGACATGCTGTTGCCTCCGCTGGTTGAAAATGAATTGTTCATAAGTCTCGTCAGATTCACCAAAACGGTACCTCTCCTTCTTCGACATCACCTCCTGCCAATCTGCACTTCCCTTATCGGGACTGTGCACGAATCCATTTATGATGACCAGAGCAGCCGGGCCGGTAGTGTGACGAAAGAAAGCCAATTGTGCCGTACTGGATTCGCTGTTCGTCTTTGTCAGCGCACGAAAATGTGCATACTGTGTTCGGCACAGTCTCCAGTTGTCAGCCAATCGCCCCGTTTTCTCCATGATCAGATACGCCGGCGGTTGGATCTCCAGTCCCCTAATCATTGGGAATTTCGCGTCAGTTTCCGCTGTCACCATGACATAAGTCGATTTTTCAGGAAATGCTCTCGATATATTTTCTCTAGTCCACTGGACACGAATCACATTTGGGAAGGAATCACGGGCGTTTATATATAACCCAATCAGATTATTCGACGGGCAAAATTAAAGTATTACACGGACCAATTATAAAAACACAATTGATGCAGTAAAACAAACGAACAATTCAAACAACACTCCAATACACACACCGTCGCCACGGTATATTTAGGCGCTCAGACAATATCTGTTCGGCCATAGCAATCATTCCATAGGCTGGTTAGGCAAATACCAGTCAAATTCCATGCAATGATTGAACTGTTATTATAATTATGACGTGCACGAATGTTTTATCCGGCGCCTCATGGGTCGCTGTGATGAACGGAAGAAAGTGTGTACCCCACAGAAAAGTCTGTTCAATTGGCAATTTGAGACCAGGAACTTGGAGCAGTGAACTGTACAAGGTTCTACGTGGGGTGAGCAAAACGTTTCCGTATGCACAAAATTTTATGTTCCATACAAAAATAAGCACAACAATTCCTCAAAGCATTCGCAACCAGCGTTCATGCACAGTTCCATGCGCTTAGATTATTTGGTAAAACAGCTCAACCATGCCGAAGTGGGTGCCTCTGCGATCAGTTAAATGCAGGCCTTCACTGAAGCTGCCGGTGACTTGTATTGCATTCCACACATCACGCGCTTGACATCTACGGACATAAAATAGTCTCAGAGCCCGGACTGGACTGTAAGGTGGACGATCAACTTCCTGGATGCATTCTCTAGCCAGAAGACCGTCGACAACACCGGACCTGTTTGCAGGTTCGTTGTCATGGTGTAGAAATGTTCCTCGAGTTTGAGTCCTTGGACGACGCCTGGTTATAGCTTCCAGCACTTTCGGCAGACAATGAGTGGTGTACCAGTCTTCGGTGACTGTGCTTTGCTGTACGAGCGGTACAGTAGCATCATGATCGGTTTTGGTCATAATACCAGCCACCATCTGCTTTGCTACACTGCGCTCGCGTCGGAATTTCTGAAGCGGCGCCCCACCAACCGGCATCCATTGAGCCGATTGTCGCTCGGCCTCTGGGTCGAAACTGTACACCCAAGTCTCACCACCACGAATGATCTTTCAAACTGCATTGGAAGGTCCCGATGGCTTTCGCCCACAGTGCTATTGTCACCCACGCATCTCACTCCACTATCGCTTGCACACTGGCAATGTTGTCCGCTGTGGTGGGCTCCATAGATCGACCGCACTGTGTCCCATCATCCAGGAACCGCCTGGCACGCTTGATGTCCGCCAACCACCCGAAAACAGTGCTTCCTGAAGGCACGTCTTCACCAAAGGCAGTTTACAAACGATCAAGACTCTGGTGATGCCACTTTTGTAGTCCTAGAAAATCATCACACTGAAGTGACATTGACTGATTTCCATACTTACCGTCCGAGTATAGTGACCCTTATGCTCAGTTGCTGATATTTGGTTCCGTGTTGCAATCCCTGAACAATATTCACATAAGATTACAGTTCACGATTTCCTTGACCGATCATCTGCAACTCGTACGCGTACTGCGTATCCGGAAACCTGTTGCATAGCCCTCGTACTGGAGTGGGCGTAGTAGTGAACCGGACGCAAGCTCAACTGCGCACCAGTCAAGTTGAATGGCGGTGTCAGCGCCATAACCTCGGACCTTAGGATCCGGAGCACGCCAATGGCAGTGACTTAGACAGCGGGAGTATCCCCATTACACGGGGAACGGACTGCACGCTATTGCGAAACCAATTCACGTGCTGCAGTGATTCGCATAAAACCACTTTTCCTGGAAAGTGGCGGATGACATTTTGTGTTTAAGTTACAGGTATGTCAGAGTCATGTGAACATAGGATATGAGCGGGTTCCCAACTAAAAGAAGAATGAAATATAAGCTTATGGAAAACTGAATATAGCTTGATCCATAGTGTATCCTTAAGCAAATCTGAAAGCCGGTTCATCAGGTGCAAGTATCTATTAAACAGTATGCTTTGACAACCTTAGCGCGATTTCACCACGAGAATCATTTTTAGACTTTTGAGGGTGGCAGAAGCTAATAAAAGACATTTTGAATTTCATACAGAGTAGGATGGAAAATTCGATGGTAGTACACAGTTTTGCGACTTGGGGAAATAACCAGTCATCGATATCTTACAAACCATATGTATGAGGTGTTCCCGCTTTCCCCACTCGCTTTTGCACGCAACCTAGTGAGACCGTGTTTCCCAAGTCCCGGTGCTTAGGTTACCGGTTACCATGACTGAACAATAGGTCCTCGTGAGGATGAAGACTAGCCCTTTTGCTATTCATCGCACCAGGGTGAGAAGTAAAAAAACATTCGGAAAAGGGAAAGCAGAAATCCCAGGTGCGAAATTCGAGTAGACCGTTTCCAAACAAGCCTACTTGGAATCAACGGGTGACGGTTGGGCTAGACACAGCCAAAAACGCAAGCGGAAAGTAGAAGCCAATTAAAGAGAAATACTCATTCTCGCTCTAGAATCTAACACCAAAAATGTGAATGCAGTACATGAGAGTATCAGGATTAAAGTTTGATGAGTTTTTCTATGGACGATTGTTGACGAAAGATGTTTATAAAGAACCTCTTGTCTTGAGCAGCATAACGAAAAGTCATTGTCATGAGGAAACTAACAATCAAGGTATTCGTGCCCCTTATGTTGGATGGATTATACACAAAGTGTGAAATCTGTCAGAGATTTTCGTCTGTAATCATTCGAGTGATGATGCCCGCGCATACACACATACAATGAGCATACAGTGACTTTTATTTCATTAGACATTTGTCAAAGCTTCCCACATTTCTCACTCCCCAGTCCACGGTGCGCTTACCTGTCGACTGCCGGTTATGGTTCGCGGACGGATATGCAACTGATCACTTTCAGATTGGAGCTTTGACCACCAGTCCCGGATCGATCTGCTTCTCTCTGATGCTCCCAAAATCAGTCAGTCCACCAGTTGTCTGGCATACGGTCTTTATCATCGCACAACTACCCGTACACAGATTACGGAATTCCGTTTTCACGTGTGCGTGCGCGTGAGTACAGGGGGAACAAACAAATTTATTAATTGCATTTCGCACACACACATATAACAAGTGTTTTAATCCATCAGAAGGGAGTAGTGAACAACAAGTGTTCAACTTTTCCCAACCATTATTCTGTTGTTATTTCCAAAAGCAATTGTTTTGTCGTACACGACGGATAGATTAGGACTGCTTCTGAGGATCTCCGTCTTCATCTGAAAACGACTTGAGATAGCCTCAGAACAGACAATGAAGGACGTAACTGAATGAAAACCGCCTTCGACAAAGATAATATGAAGAGAAGAAATCGAAGAAAACAGCATACCCGTTTCGGTCGACGTTGATCTTTGCTTGCTTTAATCGCAGCTCGACCTCGCATCTGTTCAGGACCGGTATTGTTGGAGGTCGGGATTGTATCACTCGGTTGATCGACTGACAGCTCCTTCCCGGACGAGTCCGTAACTGCTGCACGGGTTTCGTCAGTGACACTGTGTATTGGAGATTCATCGGCCAGTGGAGTCACCTCTTTTTCACCAGCCACAGGAGCACTTTCATCACTTTGGGGTGATACACTGGATGAGGGTTCATCAAGCTCTGAAAAGGTAAGTCATTGCGATAAACACGATAGGGTAACCAGCAGCGGTTCATAAAATGCTAGAGAGAAACAAGCTAATTGGAAACTAACTGGAGGGCTCATAGAATGCTTACATTAAGCTAGGTTATTCCAGTGAACTTCGCACAAACCGCTCGTAACACGGACAGCCTTCGACCACATAAACTACCTTGAAATTTCTGTCTGTACCATTTGGTACCCCTTAACCGGCCTCGTGACTGTGATAAAACAACGATGAAATAGTGCACGATTTGGTTTGATTAATGGTGGGAATTTCGGGTGTACAGAAAAAAAATATCGAACAGAAGAAATTCATATAACGAAAGAGAAAAAGGCCTGAGCTCTTTTTACCTGCCTCCGTACCATCAACAGAGAGAAAGCAATTGACCTCACTAAGGAATATGATGCTGCTGGATATAATTAACATCTAAGAACAGTAGTCATTCTGCAAAGGTGCAACATGATACGTGGGGTATTGTGACAAACTTGCGCGGTGCCCTGTATTCGGTTTCCGGGTCGATGGTCATCACCGTGAGGTCGACGGACACGTAGCGCTAAGATGAATGTAGTGAGCGAGGAGGGCAACACAACAACTGCTTTTCAGCTCAGATTGACCTGTATTGAAGGAATTCTCGTCGAGAAATCCCTAGTTTTTCACACACCTAATTCGTCATACTGGGAACTGATAACGTGCAACGCGATGCAAGATATCACTGTCCATCACATTCATGTGTGTGTGCAGTTGTCATGCGCCGAACAAGACGCACAGAAGTGTGGGTCAACAAAACCAAATGCGTCGAACGTGTCCTGATAATTTTCTCCTCAAAAAAACTAAACTTGTGCGCGACTTTCGTACACTGATCCAAACTTCACGACAGCAAACGATCGCTGTTCACTACAGACTTCACCGGTATACCGACCATGGTTATGACTGGTGAGCGCTGATGGGAAATGACAAAAAGCTGCAATAATTATGAGATGTATCTGTTGTGAATTCGATGACGTTTGTTCGAATTTCATCAATTATTCAAAGAGACTTTCTGATACAATAATAGTATACATCACGTCATAGGTAAGTGCATGAGGGGTCATGTTTTGATTGTGTGAATAAAGGTTAACCTTGTCACCATTGCTTAGTGACACAGTAAAGTAGTACAGTCGTTTTTTTTGCAGGCACGCATGCAAGCCCTGCCACACTGGTATAGACGGATCACATCGACCATCCTAGATTCGACTGTTCTGGAACGCCACCTAACTAAAAAACTATATATCAACTGTGCACCACCAGGTTACCTCTTACTTACCTGACCGGGTTCGGAGACACAGATCAGAAAACATAGGACATTGTTGTTGAGTGGACAGGCACGAAAATGTGCAACAATCTTACAATAAGTATGGGATAACGAACAGATTGTGCGGAACAAATCACATGTGCACATATGAATTGCTTACCGGGCATTGCCAGTCTGACGCGTAATTCGCCTGATGTGGACATGGAATCGGTTTTACTTTGTGTAAATGCAGCCTCACTGATGCAGCAATAGCTGTGACGTCGCGCCGCGGAACCGTCTGAACAGGATTCACCCATCCAATCCTGTTTGGATTACGACAGAGAGGAATTCAGATGCATGGGATAAGATGGAGGAAAAATGAATGAATGGAAAATCATGTAATGTCAAAATTGATCTAACTGACGTTGTCAGGCGTGAAAATGCGCTCTAAGAAGAACCGAATAGAAGAACGTTTCAGCCCAAATTTTCAGGAGAACCCACGTAACACATGATATTGGAAAGCAACTTTGCATCCACCATCAGAGTGACGAGCCACATAAGTAAGCAAGTGCGAAGTTTCGTTAACACAAACGATCGCCTGAACCGAAGATTGAGAGGAATCCTAGGGTCAGACAGGCACCACTGATTAAAAAAGGGAATGTCGAATACCGTATTAAAGACTGTGATGGGACAAAAATTGACAGGTAATTGATACCTCTCATTCACATTGTCCGTACCGTGCAGTTTGTTCCGAATTCTCCCGTTTCGTTTTACTAAATAGAAAGCAACGCAATATGTTCACTCCAAAAGAGGCGAGAGGAATTCGGAGAAACTATTGGCTAATCGAAATGCAAATTCCCCGACGTTCGGGTGGACACAAATGCACCATACCGTTAGATTCAGAAAGCCGAAATTTAAAATGGCTCGGTTTTAAAACTGCACCACTCGAGTACTAATCAACTACTACTCAGTTTGGAAAACAAGCGACCATTGCTATTTACACGATGAGTTGTTTTATATTTGTTCCAGCGGTATTGTATTTTGAAACAGTCGGCACAACCACCATTATTTCCATGATTTCTTAGTGTCATTGTCGCTTTAAACCCAGGAAGGCTCAACATATACGGCTATGCGTTTTGAAAGAGGGCAAACTGAAAAGGGACCGCCGACAAAAGTCTTCATAATGTTTTTATCACAGCTTAATTGTATATGTTACATACAGACTCTCATTTAGATCATATAATAAAATGGCAATTAACCATTATACTTGTCGTTCAAGAGTAGTCAACACAGGTTACTTGTTTTATTGTGCCGACCAGCTTTGGTAACGTTATCACAATTTGTGTCCATTGTGACTTGATTCGATTAGAGTGAACTTTTTAGACTAATC